TTGTGTTTCATAGATCTTTATTGATTATGGTGTTCGAATTTTCATTACAGTATAGATCTCAATGAAGATCAAAACCATCAAACATTTTCGTCTCATCTTGGATCCGCTTTTCATCACTATCTTTATCATCAATTCTAATATTCCTCTTCTTCATTAGCTTTTTCGGCTTCACCATCTCTTTCCTACCTCCCTTTCTTGATAAACTCTCACCAAGATCAAGTACATGTTGGGTACAACACCAACACTTTTAATGGGTTTCTTGATGTGCATCTCTTCCAACCCATAAAACTTTATAGTGAATCTCATATATATACCAAAATTCTTGATGATCCTAGAGAAACTGTGTAGTACTCACATATAAAAATTAGCCAAATTTTGTTATGATTTATCTGCGTATGAAAATTTCAGAGCAGAAAGTTTGCCTCTAGTGGTGGATCATCATCAAGCAAATAAATGGTAGCAAAGAAGGAGACAAGACTAAAATTGACGATAAGGAAGAACGATAATCATCACGACCGAACCAATCGTCCTCAGTACTTGACAAATGGATATAACAAAATGAACAATTGCGTCATTAGGATTTGCTTTGATTGTAACACTACCAAGACACCTCTTTGGAGAAGTGGTCCGAGAGGTCCAAAGGTAACCCAACCCAACTCCACATATTGATTTAAACTATCTTAAATTTTAATTTAATATTATTTACCAGAAACTCTCGAATAACTAAGAGCATTTTTACTGGAGTATCTCACAAAGTTTTTAAATAATAAAAAAATTAAAAATATTTAAAGGCACAAAAAATCATGAGAGACGTTTCTTCAATTTGTGACCGACTAAATTACCACATGTAGTTATAGGATTGGTTTAGTATTTTTTTAATCGTTTAATATCTAAATAAATAATTAAAATGGATGCAGTTTATTAAAATATTATGTTATAGATAGAATGAGTTTTCAGCCGATGGTGTTGGCTTAAGACATCTCCAATAGGAGTTTCTCACCATTTAAAAAATCCAAAATAATTAAAAGGTATGAGAAAGAATAAAATCATGTTCTAAGATAAGAACCAATTCTAAAATTTTGAAAAACTCATTTAACATTTGTTGATACTTGATTGGTTCAATGCATTTTCAATGATTTAAAAGTTAATAAATAATTAAAATTATGAAAATATTATATTTGAAAGACTCAAAGAGCCTATATAGGACTAATTAGCTGCACCATAAACATACTGAATCTACAAGGTCTCTTACAATAGCTAACCAGTAAAATAAATTTAAGTTAGCATTTGGATTCGTTTAAAAAAAATCTCTGAGATGTTTAAATAATAATTATTTTTTTTTATTTTTGTTATTACAGTCTCTTTGCAACGCATGTGGAATAAGACAAAGAAAGGCGACACGGGCCGCTATGGTCGCTGCAGCCATAACGACAACTACAACACCTAACATGCTCTTGAAGAAGAAGCTGCCAAAACAGAACAAGAGATCAAATGGATTTTATAATTCCGCATCTCTTTTGGCTCCTAAGATAAAGAAATGTAAGAAGATGACCACACAAGAGGAAGAGATGTTGTTTGAGGCCGCAACACCCAGATATGTGGAGACTCAAAGCAAATCTACGATGTCGTCTTCTTCGTCATCATCCTCCTCAAACAAGTTTTTCCCGATAATCTACCGTTAATATTGAACAACTCAACTGATCATCAAGTTTTCCCTCAAGATGAGAAGGAGGCTGCCCTTTTACTAATGACTCTATCGTACGGAATGGGATTATGTTAATTCTATAACTCAATTTTTAAAACAATTAGGGAACTATTCTTATAGATGATACCATAATCCATCATTTACTAGTAATATATTTTTTTATTTGATAAAAATTTAATTCTTTCTATGATATTAAAGAAAACTCTATATTTTTTAAGAAACTTTCATTGTCTCTTTTCTTGCTTCATTGATGAATCCAAATTAATGGAAACTGATTTAAGATATATTTTTTTAACTTGGAAAATTAATGATATATTTTTTTCTTCACAAGCTCATATAAAATTACCATTTTCCTTCATTTTCTACCTCTTGCAAA